TATTTTGCACTTTGAAAGATTTAAAAATTATTATTTTGTACTCTCAAAGATTAAATTTTTCATATTATATCTTCAATGTAAATTGTGGTCCTTCTATTAACTTTCATTGCTCGTTACATTGACATGAATGGGGTGATTTTTCACAAAATGAGTAATTTTTTTTTTTTGTTGGATTGGGTAAAAAAATTGGTGAGAGTAGCTCTTCAACCCCAGCTGTACTGAAACTGGGCTTGATTTACTCTCTTTCAGGTTTTGTCTTCTATGGGCTATATAGCCCTTAGGCCCAAAGGCTAAAACCTGGACCTGTGTCGAACTTGATCTCAATTCCGAGTGAGAGCACCCATCTAGATCCACAGACTTATTCATAAGAATTTTTTTGAAAGTCGGTACACCTAATTAGACTTATTTAGCAAAAATATATAGAATAAAATGTGAGTTAAAAAGACATAAATGCCCATTTTAGAGTCATTTAATTCAAAATCTTTTATCTTTAATGCACCTTGATTCATGTGTGTTTGTTAATACATATAAATACGTATTTAATGCACCTTAAGTCATGTGTATTTGTTAATACATGTATATGTGTGTATATATATACTTATTTATATATAAAGTGATTTTGTTTTCAAATTATATTCAATGCACCTTGATTCAAGTGTTTGCTTTTTTTTTGAAAAATAATTTTATTTTCAAATTAATTTAATATCCGAATAATGTAATAGTATAATAATAACAGTTTAACAAAAACACTGTAACAAAGACAGTGTAACAAATACACTGTAACAAAAAAAGTGTTCAGTAGTTTTGTATATATGGTAACAAATTCAAAACGGAGATAAACTATTTTGAATGAAATTATATGGAACTATATGTTTGACAAAATCTAATAATACAATATTTTGTGTAAATAACTTGTTACACTATTATTGTTATACTGTTGCATTGTTAGTGTTATACTGTTACATTTTTATTATTATACTATTATTGTTACATTGTTACACTGTTATTGTTACACTATTATACTATTCGGATATTAAATTAATTTGAAAATAAAACTACTTTCTAAAAAAAAATGCATGAATCAAGGGGCATTAAAAGATGATTCAAAATTTAGATAAAAGATTTAACAACAAGTATATACATACATACATACATAATTATTTATATATACATAAATATTTATGTATATATAAATATATATAAAAATATGTATCTATGTATATAAAAAACGTATATATATATGTGTATGTATTAAAGTTTTTCCATAAAACTAGGAGATGTTTAATGCATAACTTTTCAAAAAAAAATAGTGCATTAAATACACATGGATTAATAGAGGGCAAAAATGTTACAATAAAAATAGACAAATTCAAATTATGTATTTTGATACAAATAAGTATCAAAATTAAGTACTTAATAACCTTACATTTTTTAGTGTGTATTTTTTACCAAATAAATCTAATTTGGTGTACTCCTTTACAATTTACCTTATTCATAACCATTACTCCGGACTTTGTTTATTTATTTTGAACAGTAGATAGAGAGATGATGAGGTTCGAAATCATGAGTTTAAGATTGGACAAAATATTTGTCCATTTATCAACTGAACCAAACTCCTCCTCAGTTTATTGTTCATTTAATGAAGCTGTTGAATCAAAACAATGATTTGTTCAGTTCATTAAACTCGTGAATAAATATATTTAGTGTTTAATAAATTTATATCTAAACAAGTCGAGTTTGTTCTTGAATTCAATTGGTAATAACTTAAACAGATAATTGACCTTAGTTCATTGAAATAATCGGGTGAAGCTCGAGATTAGACAAAAAAAATTGACAGGCCGAGTTCAAATAAGATATATGAAGCTTGTCACAAGCTCAAGTCAAGCCCAAACGATGTTCGTTTGCCAATCTTAAGAATCAAGGGATTGGCTCGATTTAGTTCATTTGAGCCCCTACTACTACCTAACCATTGCTCTTGGACCAAAGGGGTATTTGACCCCACCCCTCCCGGAATGAACAGCGTGACGTGTTTCAAGGGAAATTACTACATCCACCGAAAAGTTCGCCTTGATTTGGCTCAATTATTAATCCTATTAATGAGTATCTACATATACTCGATTCGTTTATTTATATTTATATCTATATAATAAAGTATAATATAATTTAAATATCAAAAAATAAATAAAATAATTTTTACTATTCACGGTTGAGATTGATTTAAATTTTACTTTAAACTTAATCTAACGACTAATATTAATAACTCAAATTTTGATAGAAAAAATAAGTCACTAAATGTGTATTTGAAGTGACTTTTTAAAAATTATTTTTTATAAATACTTTAAAAAAAATAGTGTTACCGCCCCACCACTACATCTACCACCACCACTTTCACCGCTCCACCGCCATCACCACTACCACCATCACCACTCTCACCCCACCACCATCACTACCATCACACTACCACACCCACCACCACCACCGCCGTTGTCATCACCATCACAACTTTCATTGCCCCATCACCACCATAACCACTACCATCACCATCACCATCCCACCATTATCACTATCACTACCACCACCAATACTTTCACCGCCCCAGCACCACTGTTGTCGCACCTTACTACCACTGCTACTGTCTTACCATCACCCCCATGACCATCACCATCGCTAACCCACTATCGTCACCCACCACCGATTACTACCATCGTCGTCCATGCACACCACCCACCTTCATCTTCATTTTATTCTTATATTTATTATCATTACCACTATCATCTCACTACCACCGTCACCCACTGTCACACCCACCACCACCCATCGTCCCCTATCATCGCCACCAGCCATTTTCACCTATCCCACCACACCTACGACCACCAACCACCATCATATGTCATCACCCACCATTTATTACCATTATCACCATCATCACCACGAACTTTTCCAACTGTTAAAGAAGACTTCAAACGATTTTGAGGGGTTTTTTTAGCTCTGCTTTTTTTATAGAACTTTTTAAACTACAACTTTTAATCTAAAAAAATCAGCCCCAAATGGATCCAATATATGTTATAAAATAGAGTGATGATCTAACGAAATTAAGTCAAAATTATGATGTAATTAATTAAAATAAAGTTCGAATTAAGTTACTCAGGTCAAAAAGAATTTTTTTACAAAAATAGATATAAATTATAAAAAAGAGATCTGTCGAAATAATCAACTTAGATTCAGATCAAAGTTTCTAGAACATATTCCAAATTCAAATTCGTCAATTTCCACCTGTTAACTGTCTTCCTTGACCAACCCTTGTACAGCAACTGCCCTTGATTGTCCGGTCACATGCATGTGTCAATCATATGCCTTCAATTCAGAAATCAAACTTTGCTCACGAGCCATCAAGCATGGAGAGTCCAACTTTAATACGAACTCGTCTCATTCAACACAATTAATTGACCTAATGATAAGTGCATCTCCCATCCCCCGGAAGCCAAATATATTTGTGATGTCAATCGAGTAAATATTATGTCGTAATCAAGATGTATTATTTGTATTAATAAATATATAATTCATTTTCTGACCACTCCAACCCACTCACACCCCACCCAAGTCCCAACCATTTTAATGCATGTGGTCTTAAAGTGTGGGATGGAGAGAATATGACGATTACCCAGCCGGGAAGGCGGTGTATGTTCAATCCTATGGTGTCAATTATTCCTCACATCCATTGCCATTCAAGTCACAGAATTTTTCAAAAATTCCACTAACCCCCTAGGTTTTGAAAATTTTATGCTCCCCCTTCGGTTTGAAAAATCTTATTATATACAGGTATTGTCACTTAATGTATGCAAAAACAAAAAAAAAACCTATAATATTTTTATATTTAATGACCAAATAAAGAATAAAATAAAATACAAGATTGTTACTTTTACAAACAAAGACACTAACACACTTACTTGGATTAGTATGTATGATCACCAGTGGAAAACCAAGTAAAATTTTCACAAAATTCAGTTACAAAAGTGATTTATCTGGACATCATTATCTTTTTTCTTTTTCTTTTTTTTTTTTTGAATTGTAACGACGTCATTATCACAAACTAATTCTTGCAATGGAAGAGATGGAATCAGCATCTTTATCTTCGAAGGGCCAACTTGCAAATATGGTAAGGATCAAGAACTTTTTTTTTTCTGTAAGTCATTTTTAGCTAATATATAAAACTTAGTAAAATCAACTTCTACACATTGAAAAAAAAAAAAAAACCTTCTACCCATTTCATTTATCTACAATAAATTAAAATATTAATTCAAACTCGTCAAATTTTATGTAAAAAATTTCACAAAAATAAAGATTTTATAAAATAAAATTCATCGAATAATCAAATTAGATGGAAGTTTTTAAATCTGTCAACTTCGGCCTCTATGTTGCACATATGTAACATGCTAACCCATCCACCCCTCATCTCCCGTCAATTTCAAGCTTTTGTTTTTTTTTTTGGGGGGGGGGGTAAGTTGCCTAGAGACTTGATGGTGTTTGATCCTAGTCACACATCATGCATGGTAGGTGTTAGTAACACATAATTCCCATCCCTCATAAATCTAACGAATTTGAAGTGTAAATCGAGTGATGTTATGTCGTATTCAGATTGTGTTTTTTGAATTTTTGTTGTGTTTGTGTCATATTTGTATTAGTAACATACAATTCATTTTCAAATTAAACGTGCATTAAAGTGAAATTCATTATATATAAGTGGGTCCCTTATTTATTTATGGTGAACAATAAACCAAAAATAAAATTAAAGAAAGAATTAATGTACTGTAGAGGATCTGAATCTATCCCAACCAACTTAATGCATGTGGTCCAAACATTTGGGAACGAAATTGCGGTTACTTCACACTTAAGCTGGTTTGTTTCCTTCTCTATAATAACGACTTAAAAAAAAAGTACAATCGGTTACATAGATGGAGTCTTTCCCACCAACTTTGATCGGTTTGTGCCCAATCTCAGTTTCAACAAATGAATTGACGAGCGACAGGTTGCACCAAATCCTGCAATCTTTCACTTATTGTTGAAGTCTCTATGCCAATTCTTGAATACAAAGCCTGCGAAATATTAATCCAACAAGTGATATTAATATTTATGAACACACATTATTAAATAAATGTATGAATTGCAATGTGGAACTGGCAGCTGAAACGATTTTAATTTTTGATTCAGGCAATGTGAAGTAATTCAAGTAGTTAAGAGGATAACGTAAAAATTTTAATAATTCAAGGAATAAAGTAAAATCGATACCAAAGTGTGATTTATCCTCCTATTTATTTCATGCACACTTTACTATGATGAAATAGTAGTCATGAAGATTAATTTCGATGAGGTTGTTTTTGATTGGGGGGAATTATTGGAATTAGGGTTGTAATCATGAATGAATACGGGTGTTTTGTGATGACTTTGTCCAAGAAAGACACATCTTTTGCAAGGACACACGGTTGTAAGGACATTTTTTTGGAAGGAGACTACCACTGTTATGAAGCTGATATCAGAGGCCGTGGGAAATTTCAATCCTATGGGCAGCGACAAAAGAGTCACTTCTCAAAGTTTCAAAACTTCTCTGTTCCTAGAATCCGGCACATTGGTAATAGAGTGGCTCATCTGCTTGCTCGTAATGTTCTTACTATTGATAACATATATGTACGGGAGAAGATGACACTTTGATTTCTTAATGCCTCTTCACTTCTGTGATATTTATAATCTATAACATTATATCATGGCTTAAAAAAAAAATTGTAGTTTTGAAATTGTTAAGGATTATTCAATGACTGAGCTTGATCTTTGATAACTCAGAAGTCTCATTTTCAATATTTTTCAACCCCCAAAAGAACAATCACCATTGTTCTTTGGGAGACATGTTCTAAACCCGTTATGGTTACAATGGCTAATATATGAACTCAAAAAAGTAGTCGGCGCAAAGCTGTACAACTTTTAGTAAAAAATAATAGCAGTCATGATAAGGAATACTGGAAGAGAGGATAAACAGACCTGTGAATAAATGGAATAGAATGTCCTTGAACCCACAGTTGAGCAGCTAGCAGTCAGAACTTCAGCACCTTCTTCACGAAGAACACTGAAAATTTCATACAATAGGCAGTTCTGATTCACCCCAGTTATCAAATTTATCTCCAAAGCTGAACCCACCTCTCTAATTGCAAGTACTGGTAACATCAAGCCATCCCTCTGTTCTTCAATGACAGCTCTATCACCTTGGAGTTTTTCCCTTCTTTTCCTTAGTTCTTCCAAGCGCTGTTTCAGTTGCCTTATGTAAGAAGTGGATTGATCCAACAACGAAGGTAATGCCAGTCTCTCCTGAAATTCATACAGAGATCAATGCATACATATACATATAAATATAAGATTATGGTTTTGGAGGGAGAAAAAAGAAGTTTCTAGTACCAATAATCGAGAGGGATTTTCGATTCATGCATAAATGTGAGGAGAGTTATCGCACATTGAAAAATTATTTAAGTATCACTCTATACATCGTTAATTTGTTTTATGTTGAATGCTCTAACATAGTATTAGAGCTAGTGAAATTTTTTGGTCTCTTTATTTATCTATTCAGTTTTCATCCAATTTATTCGTTTGTCAATTTCACTTGTTTTTTTGTCCACGTGTGAGTTTGAATCGCGCGTAAAGAACATTGTGAATAGGGTTATCCCGCATTGAATAAAAATATAATGCTAAAAAATTACTTTTCATTACTCTATGTAGCTACACCCTACATATAAACATGTGCCTGTATATACTAAAACACACACTCACAAACAAAAAGATATCCTAGAGTTGGAAGGTTGGGTTAATCACTTTGGTAGGTATGAGAGAGGCAAGCCTTGAAAAATGAGCTTTCATCTGCATTCTTCGTCCTCTTTCTATTTCATTTCGCCCAACTCTAGAAGCCCTCTGCCCCGGCTGCATATCTTCCCTAGCGTTTGTGTGGCTTCCTTATTTAGACAATGCAAATGTAAAAATACAAGGAAACTTTGTGTGAAGAGGAGGTCACTTGTGTCTACTATATATATATGCCACCACATGGCTCCACACACACACACACACAGAGTTGACATGACATACAAGTAAGGTTCATGGTATTGAGTAGGAACTTGGTGCATGAGAGTCAAAGCAATGACTACTAGAACGAACCAATTAAATAAATGCGATAGATCATACTGAGGTGGGGTTTGAAATCCTCTCTCTCTCTCTCTCTCTCTCTCAAATCGCAACATCTATGACTATGGACTCACGCTAACTTTGTCGTTGATTGATTGCCACTGCACCCTAACCACGACCAAGAAAGTTGTTTTCATGTTACAACGATCACACAAATATCTGATGATTTAAATATCTCATAATTAAACATCGGATGATTTAAACATCTCATAATTAAACTGCTGAAGAGATGTCATTTCTAACTCAAATCATAAGTTCTAGTAAATAAGTTAATAAGATAAACCCCTTTATTTATTTTACTTCACTGCAAGAAGAAACAATTTTTGTACAGGCACCATGCCAACGCAAAATTTTTTTGCATCGGCAACTAGACTATTTGAGTTAGTAAAAGGGCGAAGTAAATAATGGGTGATGCAAAAAGTCGATTTGGATTAATTACCAACACAAAAGGGTTTTAGCATCAAGAAATTGCCGATACAAAAGATCCGAAGCAAAAAAAAATAAGTTGGGATCAGTTTTTGCGTCAGCACTGTTACCCATGCAAAAAATTAGTATTTGTTTCAACAATTTGCCAGTGCGAATACCCTCTCTCTCTTTTTTGCATTAGTGTTGTGCTGAGGCAAGTAATCTTTTTGCTTTTGCATTTTGTAGATGCAAATATTTTTTTTTTTTGAAAAAAAAAAAAATTAATTGCGTTTTCTTTTACCCTATTGATACAACTAATTCTTGTACAATAAAAAATATTTTTTTTCTCAGTTTTACAATTATATTTATTATATAATTTTTAGTGTATAAAAAATATAAACATAAATTCAATTAAGTGATAATAAAATTTTAAATATAAAATTAAGCTCTAAATTTTTTATTAATAAGTTATATGAGTGAACACAAACATAAATATAAAAATAAATATATCGACAGAACAAGATATAATTAATTAAATATAAGATTCGACTTGACATAATTGGCACGTTACGTATCACAATTCACATGGGTCCTTGTCATACGTTGGATTGTACCTAGATTTCGATGGTCAGGCAGGCTTGACTTTGGGGGTTTAATAGAACGGCTGAAATTCAACCATTCAAAGCGCCGAAGTATGATCAATTATTGCCATTAAAATATCTGAAGACTGGGCGAGAGAATGATGCTGTACCCCAAAATAAAATATACTAATAGAAAAGACTTAAATCCATGCACAAGTCTTAAAACGAACAGTCTGGTGTTTTTAAGACATGTGAAAAATCACTAGCAACCTAACTTGTGGGAAAGGGTATTGAAATTGGACCATGGTACTAAATGTCCACGTGGTGGAACGAAACAAAACGAATATAGGCATGGCCTAAACCAATCACATTCGAGAATGTATTCAATGCTGTCGTTTCAACAGTAAACATGTCGTTCCCTACCTTCATTGTCACAATATGTATTCAATGCCAAATGTTGTCCCCTACGATCATTGCCAATGTGGCTGTGGCTGTGGCCGTGGCCGTGGCTGTGGCTGAGGCATCAAAAATGCCGATATTGAAATTTTGATTTAAATTATTTATAATTAGAGAAAGATTATGTTACCGATTTTAAATATTATATAAAAATTTATAATTTTTTAAGATTAAATTATATATTTTTTTAAAATAGAAGTTATAACTAAAAAAGTGATACAAATTATAATTTTTAAAAACAAAGTTATTACTTTTTGAAGTGTTTTTTAAAGGTAAAATTATTATTTTTTTAAGTTAAGTTACAATTGATCAAGATGTATTTATGATCGACCAAAATATTTCAGGATCGATCATAAAATTACTTCAAACAGTTCTAACTTCATCGTAAAAAAAATGTGAGGATCAACAATGGTTGAATGGCTCTGCTGTGATGGCTTGATGGCTCTGCCGTCTTAAGCTTCAAATTCTCTCAGGTCACCCCTAGCTTACCCCGATTTGGTTGATTATTGTGAGAAGAATAAATTTTACTCCAAAGAGTATTGTGATAAGTATCACTTTCATGTGATCATCAGTACTCGACATGCACATTTGGAAGTTGATAACATTATGATGAATCTAATCATACTTTTTAGCTGTTTTTTAATATAGGAAGATGGGAATTAGGAAAGAGTTTATTATAGGGGAAGATGGGGGTGTTTTGCCCCTGTTCAGATTGAACCATAATCAAGAACAATGATGAATCTGGTTGACACCATCATGATATGTCACTCGTGATCTGATGGTGCATTTTAACGTGGATGAGCTTAAGGTGAAGTAACATGAGATGAGCGTGGATCATAACTTCGAAGCTCGTGTATGATATTTTAATAAAATATTGAGGGGATTAAAAGGGTGTACACAGTGAAAATATAGTGGTTCACCAACTCGGGAGCTCGGCTAATCCACTATTCAATGGAGATTCTTTCTCCTTCCTTCACTATTTACTATACCAAAAGGTTTACAGAATGTAAGATGTGATACTTGGGTTCTGCCCTTCTGTTGGGGGCGTTACAGAGTATTTATAGGGGTGACCTTTAATCTATGGGATCTGATCCATGATCCTCGCCATCTATCCGAGATTGTTGCCCTTATTTCGTGGGCTTCTCCTTAATTCTAGGAGAAGATCTTTGTTGGTTGAGATTGGATGCCTTGATTACAGCTTCCTAACGCTTTAGGATTCTCTCATGGTTATCCAGCTGTTATCTTGCCTTAAGAGACACTCGGCCCTTACCCTCTAACCTCTGCTAATGTGTCTGACCTCCTGGTCCGAGCTGACCTCCTAAGCTTAGCACTTGAAATTTATTTTGGGTATCATCAGTTGCCCCCCAGCTCTTAGTCAAGTTGGCTTGGGCAAGGGCTGAGCTTAAGATGTAGTAGAATGGTTTCCCAATCAGCGACTTCGAAGTTTGCACGGGAATTTTGTTTTTCTTTTTTTGCATGTGGGTGCTCCTGACCTGAACCTGCTTGAATTGATAAGGGTGGAACAAATGACCCAAGCTGAGCCCATGTCTTTTCCTCATCTCATGACGCCAGATAATCTGTTTTTGTTTAGCGTCGCTGCAACTGAACAGGACTTTCCCTCTTTTTTTTCCTAAATTTGATCTCTCTTCTACCTGGTCTGATGAGAGCGAGGATGATGGGACTCATATCAAGAAACGCAAGAGGGATGGTTCATCCTTTCCTTCATCCAGATCTTTCCTGGGGGAAGTTCTGTTTTCCTCTGCTGGGCAAAAATTGATGGATCTATTGTCAGCGACTGAGAAGGAGAGGGATGAGCTGAAGGAGGAGAACCTGCGTTTGAAAGAGAGGATAGCCGAACGGCAAAGACGACTAGGAATTTTGCTTTGACTGATTTTTTTGTAATCTTTGATGTTCTTGAAACCTTGATTTTCCCTTTCCATGTTGGTCGCTTCTTATACACAATTTGTGCCTTTGAGAATCTGGAAGTTGATCTTCCATGTCGTTTCCTAGCTTGTGGACCAAAGAGCCCCATTTTTCCTTTTTGTAATGGATAGAAGCTGTGAAGCTTTCCTTTTATTCTACGTGCTGCAGGTCTTGCTTTTAGTTCTTCTGGACCGGGAAGCGCATTCTGAGCTGCTGCGTTTGCTTTAGGGACAGAAGAACTCGTCCTGAGCTACTAAGCTATTTTTATGGACTGATAAGTTTAATGTGAGCTCCAGAGCTCTTTTTATGAACTAACGAGTTCATCATGAGCTCTAAGGCTCTTATCACAGACTAACGAGTTTGTCATGAGCTTCAAGGCTCTTTTTATGAACTAACGAGTTCGTCGTGAGCTCCAGGGCTCTTTTTATGACCTAACAAGTTCGTCGTGAGTTCTAAGGCTCTTACTACGGATTAATGAGTTCGTCGTAAGCTCCAGGACTCTTTTTATGAACTAACGAGTTCATCGTGAGCTCCCGAGCTCTTTTTTATGAACTAAGGAGTTCGTCGTTTGCTTCGGAGCTCTTTTTATGAATTAATGAGTTCGTCGTGAGCTCCCAAACTCTTTTTATGAACTAACGAGTTCGTCGTGAGCTCCAAGACTCTTTTTATGAACTAACAAGTTCGTCATTAGCTCCAGGGCTCTTTTTATGAACTAAGGAGTTCATCGTGAGCTGCAGGGCTCTTTTTATGAACTAACGAGTTCATTGCGAGCTCCCGAGCTCTTTTTATGAACTAACGAGTTCCTCATGAGCTCTAGGGCTCTTTTAATGAACTAACGAGGTCATCGTGAGCTCCCGAGCTCTTTTTATGAGTGAATGAACCACAGACTTGCTGCTTTATTAATAATCATATTACATGACAAACTTACTGAAAAAATTTTCCTTAGATGTTCTGCATTCCAGGAGTGGCGTAAAATTTTTGTCGGGTCTGCTTTCATCCAGGGTGGCCACCTCAGGAATTTTTTATTTTGTATCTCATACAAGATTTGCGATATTATTGCGGTGAGTGGAGGGACCTGCCGAGGTGTTTACTTCGACTACAACTCTGGATGACTTAGTCCCAAACGATCTCTGACGTCTCCCCTTCTTTTGAGGAATCGATCTCTGTCTCTCCTTGGGGACCTATCTCGTCCTCTTTCTCTTCTAAGACTTCGATCCCTCTTTTTCTCTTCTTTTCTTTTGTCTTTTTGCATGGATGAGCTCCCCACTTTTGAGAGGAGAACTTCTTCGTTGTTTATGTACTTTTCTGCCTTAGCCAGTACTTTGGTCATGCTGGCCTAGGGATTTTTCGAAATAGAAAACATCATGTCTTTAGATTGTACGCCTAAACCAGCTATGAATGCAATAATGACAAATTTTTCATCTGGGACATCCACTTTTAGTGATTCAAAGTTGAACCTCTGAACATAGGATCTGAGGTTCTCTTGGGGTCCCTGCTTCACATTCAACAGGTGGTAACTCGGCTTTATGTATGTTCGAGCTCCTATGAAGTGAGATACAAAGGATATGGACAGCTCCTTAAAGGACGAAATTGAGGTAGGGGTGAGTCTATTGAACCATGTCAGGGCTAAGCCTTTCAGCGTGATGACAAAAGCTCTGCAGTGCACTGGATCCTGGTATCCATGCAACTCCATCTGGTTCTTGTAGGTGTTGAGGTGATCTACGGGATCCTTTGTTCCATCGAAAGCGTCTATTTGTTGTATTCTGAATTTCATAGGGAGGGAAAAATGCAGCACCCCAGTGATGAATGTGGATTCAACCTGCTGTACCAAGACATCCATGGTAACTGGAGCCCTACCTCTCACGACTTCTTTCATGTGGTTGAGCTCTTGCTGGATACCCTGGAAGTGCTGCTCCCAGTATTGTTCTCTCATTTCCTGTTGATAAGGGAAAAAATCGTTTCACTCACCTCCTTCGTTCTGACTCTGTCCTTCGTCGTTGTGGCTATTCTTTGGGGGTATGCGAGGTTCTAGCCTCATGGTTTGGTTGTTTTTTCCTTCTTTGTTAACTTCTCTAAGGGGATCGAGGTGTGGTTGTTCCCTAGGTGGGAGGTTGTTCTGGCCTTTTTGAGCCTGTTGTGCCTCCTGTGGGCGTTGTAAGAGCTTTAAAAGTTCTTCATTTTGTTTTAGCAAGCGTTGATTGGAGAGGTGAAGAGCCTCCATCTCGTTATTCATGGGGAGACCCCCCACTGGAAGATTGGTCTCTTGGACGCTCTTGGGTTGTCTACTATTAGCAACTTCTTGTTGATCTTGCACCCGTGGTAGATTTGTTTGACTTCGGTTCATGTTTCGCGTTGATACCATCAGTCACTGAAAAATCAGTTTGTTTAATAATAGGAACAGTCATTCCCACAAACGGCACCAAATTGATGGTGTATTTCAACGTGGATGAGCTTGAGGTGCAAGTAACGTGAGATGAGCGTGGATCAGAGCTTCAAGGCTCGTGTATGATGCTACAATAAAATATTGAGGGGATTAAAGGGGTGTACACAGTAAAAATATAGTGGTTCACCAACTCAGGAGCTCGGCTAATCCGTTCTTCAATTGAGATTCTTGCTCCTTCCTTCACTATTTACTATACCAAAAGATTTATAGAATGTAAGATGTGATACTCGGGTTCTGCCCTTCTGTTGGGGGCGTTACATAGTATTTATAGGGGTGGCTCTTAATCTATGGGATCTGATCCGTGATCCACGCCATCTATCCGAGATTTTTGCCCTTATTTCGCGTGCTTCTCTTTAATTCTAAGAGAAGATCTTGGTTGGTTGAGATTGAATACCTTGGTTAAAGCTTCCTAATGCTTTAGAATCCTATCGTGGTTATCCGGATGTTATCTTGCATTAAGAAACACTCGGCCCTTACCCTCTAACCTCTGCTAATGTGCCTAACCTCCTGGTCCGAGCTAACCTCCTGAGCTTAGCACTTGAAATTTATTTTAGGTATCATCATGATCTAACATGATTGACTCAAGTTTTATATCGACGTACTTGAT